AGAAGCACCTGAGTACCAGGGGGGACGGACTCACTAGCACCTAGAGCAGCAGCCTCACCAGGACCTGGGGCAGCAGACTCACTAGCACCTAGAGCGGCGGCCGGACTGGTCTGAATGCGCGGGTCGGGCGGAACACGCAAGTACTGAGCACCCTCTCCACTAGTAAACATCGCATACATGGCAGTGAGAATAGCATCAAAGTCTAAAGCCCAGATATCAACTCCCTTCTTCTCCAGATCAGCCCAGTGGGGCAGGTCAGTGGCATCAGGAAACTGGGCCCGCCACGCGTCAGTAAGGCGCGCGAAACAACGCTGTGTGGGATGCGGCCTCCCACACTGCTGGCCAGTGCGGTCACCAGTGCGAATGACATACGTGCAGGTAAAGCCACGCTGCGCATACCACTCACGGGCGGCCTGAAGCAACGGGGCGGGCTGCTGACTCTGTCCACCGCCAGCGCCTCCACGACCACCACCGCCGCCGCCACCGCCCCGGCCACCTCCACCCCTGCCGCCGCCACGACCACCTCCGCCTCCGCTGCCGCCTCCGCCCCTGCCACCGCTCCCGCCGCTGCTGTCACCACCCCCACTGCCGCCACTAGCCTCTCCAGTCCCACCGCCACCCCCACCGCCACCACTCCCGCCTCCCCCGCCACCACTCCCGCTTCCCCCGCCACCACCTCCACCCTTGCCCCCTTTGCCCCTGCGGCGCCCGCTCGGAGCAGACGCAGCCCCGACCTTCTCAGCACCAAGGAGGTCGACAGCAGCAGCAGAGGCGACAGAGGGGAGGAGAGGGGAAGGGGAACACCCCTCAAAGAACGGGGTGCGGGGGTCGCCACGAGAGGTGCCTACAGCGACGATGCTCGCCTCAGCTGCAAGCAATTCCTTCTCGAGGAGGGCAATGGTGAGCTCAGTGGGGGAGCGAGAGAGGAAGTGATCCCTGACTGCGCGCAGAGAGTCAGGGAGGCGGGTGACGATGTGGTAAAGCGTGATCCAGAGCGGGGGGGGTTGCTGGCAAGGAACTCGTCAGGCATAGCAGCGCGAAAGCGGGCCTCACTGGTCCTGAGGTGGGTGAAGAGGTCAGCGACTGTGCTGAAGGAGGCCAGGTCGGGGAACAGGTAGGGGAGGGTGAGGCGGCCTAGTGCGGCAGAGGCAGGTGAGGAGTAACGAGCAACTACAGCAGTGTACAGGTCCTTAGCAGTCTTGTGCTGGCCAAAGTGCTCGCGCTCATCTAGTGGCAGGGAGTTGCGAATGGCGAAGCGAGCGTGGGCATCACGAGTCTGCCACTGTGAGCGCTGAGTGCTGTCTGCAGTGGTAGGAGGGGCAGTAGCGTGACCGAGGGCATGATCGTACAGTGAGATGTCCTCCTTGGCAGTGAGCTGTAGGAAGAGATGCAGGTCATCTAGCCAGGTTTCGAACTTCACTGGACGGCCCTCAGCATCGAAAGCGAGTACAGGCGGACTAGCCATAATAGTAGCAGCAGTAGCAGTAGCAGTAGTAGCGGTAGCAGCTGCAGCAGCAGCAGTAGCAGTATCAGTAGAAGCGACGGGGCCGCGAAGAGGCGGTGCGCGGGGTCTACGGGGCCAGCGGGGCCTCTATGCGGGGCGCGCGCGGGGACGACGGGGCCGCGGGGACCTCTAGGCGGGGGGCGCACGGGTCGACGGGGTCGCGGGGCCTCTAGGCGGGGTGCGCACAGGTCGACGGGGTCGCGGGGCCTCTAGGCGGGGCGTGCACGGGGCCGCGGGGCCACCAGGGGTGGGTCGACGGGGCCGCGGGGTCGCGACACGAGGTGCGCACGGGGCCGCGGGGCCTCTAAGTGAGGGGCGACGGGGCCGCGGGGCCGCTAGGTGAGGGTCGACGGGGCGACGGGGCCGCGGGGCCGCTAAACGGGGTGCGCGCGGGGCCGCGGTCAAGGGTGGGTCGACGGGGCCGCGGGGCCTCAAGGTGAGGGTCGACGGGGTGACGGGGCCGCGGGGCCGCTAAACGGGGTGCGCGCGGGGTCGACGGGGCCGTAAGCGGGGCCGCTAGGTGAGGGTCGACGGGGCGACGGGGCCGCGGGGCCGCTAAACGGGGTGCGCGCGGGGTCGACGGGGCCGTAAGCGGGGCCGCAATCGGGGCGCGCGCGGGTGCGACGGGGCCACTAAGGGGCAGCGTGCGGGGTCGACGGGGCCTTAAGGGGCCGTACACGAGGGCGCACGAAGGCGCGGAGGGGGAGGCGCTAACGCAGCACTCCGACAGTAGGTAGGTAGGTAGTAGAGGTGGGCCCGAAAAAAAAACTTAGGTCCTAGCGAAGGACCTGCTCTGAAACCATGTCAGAATAACTGAACGAGGAATGAATGAACTAGCTCAGAGTTTGGTACAAGTAGGAAACCCTAACTTTGTGTACCCCCTAAGGTGTAACCCACTACAGCCTACACAATATAAACATACAATGTTTGACAACTCGCAGGAGCCACGATCAAATGATGGGTGGTGAAGCAGATGGACATCGTAACGGCATTCCTCAACGGCGTCCTATTAGGGGAGATCTTCATAACGAAGCCAGAGGGGGTTGATGATGGTAGTGGCGGAGTGTGGAAGCTGAACAAGGCCCTCTATGGGCTGAAACAGGCCCCTAGGCAATGGTACTTGAAGCTGCGCGAAGTGTTGGAGGAGATCGGCTTCACTCCCTCAACGACCGATCATTCATTGTTCATGTTTGGCGAGGGGGGGCAGAAGAACTTCATGGTAGTTTATGTGGATGACATCCTCATCTTCTCACCCTCCTCTGATCTTGCGAAGGAGGTGATGCTGAAGCTTAACAACAAGTTCAAGTGCAAGGCACTTGGTGACGTCAACTTCTACCTCGGGCTTCACATTGAACGCGATGTGGAGAAGCGGTTCATGCGGGCGCATTAATGGAAGTTCTGGAGGCCTGGGTTGCCAACTTTGGGCAGAGTGAAGGCCATGTGGCTACTTCATTCGCTTCAGGGTTCTAGTGTGTGAAGGGACCAGACGAGGAGAACGTTGGTGAAAAAGAGAGGCACCGTTTTCACTTATTGGTGCGCAGCCTCATGTACGCGGCAGTCAACACACGACAGGATGTTGCGTTTGCTACCGGGCAGCTTGCAAGGGTTGTGCAATGCTCTAATGAGGAGCAGGTAGCAGCTGGAATGAGGGTGGCCAAGTATCTTGGCCAAACACCGACCGTTGGGCTGCAATACTCGGCGGCGGCACAAAGGCGCCAAAAGGGCGCGGATGGTGTTGAACTCAGGCGTTTGTTCCTCACAGCCTTCTTAGATGCCTCTTATGCATCAAAACCAGAGGACATGACAAGTGTGGGAGGCTTCATATGCTGTGTTGGTGGAGGCCCAACTGCTTGGGAGAGCAAGAAGCAGGTTGACCAAGCTTTGAGCTTTATTGAGTCCAAGTACATGGCATTTTTCCGTGACGTTTGGGATATTGTGTGGCAGCAGCATTTGTTGGCTGAATTGGGTGAGGAGCAGCAAAGACCTACCACACTCTACCGTGACAGTCAGGGTGCTATTGCTCTAGCTAAGAACCAGGTCACCGATGACCTCTACATCGGCCAGCTCTGTTGGTGCAACCCTACGGTTTGCACTCGGCTTGTTGTCCGTGTGCGTGTGCGTGCATGCGTGTGTGCATGGAGTGGTATGAGTGCATGAAATAAATATATATTTCATGCTTATAATGGTGTGTGAATGATGGGTCATGATGTCGAGTGTGTGTGTCGAGTCAATAGCGAGTTATCGCTAGCCGCGTGTCAATGCGGTCATTAATATCTCGTGCGCGGTTTCTATTTTGTCACTTGTGTTCCGTGCACGGTTTCTTTTTTGTCCTATGTCGAACGTTCGGCGTGTCGCAGGTGTGTGTGCAGTAGACCCCTCAAGAACTCAAGGTTGAGTTTGTGATGAAGAACCCGAGCCTTGGTTTCAAGCTTCAAGTGTTTTTTAAAGCTTGCCAAAAGGGTACACCTCAAGATATTGAAGATAGTTACATTACAAAGTGTAGTGTAACATTTCAGTTGGTGTAGGCCCTTGTGAAGGGTAGTTTCGAGACCCTTCTTGGTTGGGGACAGTGTGGCACTGTTCCCCATCACTGTACCTCGGCTCTTGGGGTTTGTAGAAGCTGGGAGTCATTCCCAACTCGCAACTCTTCCTAGCTGTTCGTAATTGTGTGTTCTAAGACTATGTTGCTGCCATAGTGCCGTTCGTTCAATCTGACGCTGTGTCGTCAATTCTTGATGAAATCGTGCGATCTAAATTGCCTATTGTAGGCGACTTCAAGGCGCTCCAGATCCAAGTTGAATGATGACAATTGGAGCAGTGACCAGATCGCTATGAACGTTTAAAGCCACTGTTCAGAAATCTGACTGCGCACTCTATCTTTCGTTTTAGGCACATTGAAGCCTATTGTGACTAAAACAAGCGGTATCAGAGCCCCTTGGAGCAGCTACGACGATGGCTGGACCTGAAGAGAGGGGTGGCAGAGGTGCTGGAGGCAATGGAGAAGCCCAAGCACAAGGCCAAGCCCGTGACTCAGCCGAAAGTGGCGTCCGTGCAACCTACTCTTGGACCTTCAAGGGATGAACCAAGAGTGTTCGGGCTTGACAAGTTCAACGGCGACAACTTTGCTGAGTGGTCCTTCAGAATGGAGAATGTGTTTGACCATTATGACCTGCTGGAGGTGATGGAAGGAATGGAGAAGCGTCCCGAGGCAGAGCGCACAAGGCTATCTCTTACTTGGGCAAGCGTTGGGAGCAACCAGATCCGTCACATCAAGCCTTTCCAGCGTGAACCAGAGAAGGGACCTAAAGCATGGGCTGCTCTCAAGGGTGTACATGCTCCTGCAACAGCGGTGGTAGCAGTGGTGTTGGAACGGCAAAAGGCGACGCTACGAATTGAAGAAGATGAACCCGTGGAAGACGGGGTGCAGAAATTCTTTGACTTGTTGACGCGGCTTGAGGGAGCTGATTAAAACTACAGAGAGCTCCAGAAGAAGCCCATGTTGCTGGCCCTACTCCCCGAATCGTGGTCCTCGCTCATCATCAACTTGAATCGTGACCTGCCCCGCCTCTCGCTAAAAGACGTGAAGCGCGCGATCCTTCAAGAGGACTTCCGCCGCCGTTAGTTAGCGAGTGCGGATGGCGCTGGGGCAGCGAGCATCGGCCGTGGATATGGCCGAGGAAGAGGCAAAGGAAGATGGGGAGGAAGGTTTCGTGGCAGCAACTTCGGCGGAGGCCGCGAGGAAGGCGGATACGGCAGCGACGACAAGAGCTACGGTCGCGGTCGCGGACGATTTGACGGCGAATGTCACTATTGCGGCAAGAGCGGACATATGTGGCGCGATTGCTTCAAACTCCCTGAAGGATGGACCCCTGCTCAAGACCAAGAGGGTAGAGGAGCAGGAGGAGGGAGAGGCAGAGGCCGTGGAGGCCGTGGCGGTCGCGGAGGTGGAGCCGCGAACATGAAGAGTGGAGATAACGACAAGGACCCGAGCGACGATCGGTACCCGGGTCTATTCTACTTTGTGTCGACGCAAGTACCAGCTGGTCCAGAGAAGGATGAAGACCTTGAGGAGCCAGCAGCTGTGGGGAAGGTGACCCTACACCCCCTGGACTTTTGAATTATCGATAGTGGTGCTACCTATAGCATGACACCTCGCCCCGACTTGCTCATCGAGCTTGAGCCGTCACCGGTGAAGCATGTCACATCGGCTTTGGGGCAGCGAGCGGAGGTGAAAGGCATGGGCAAGGCCATGTTCAAGGGTGCTGATGGGAAGATGGTGGGCCTCAAGAACGTGCTTTTGGTGGCCAGCCTTGCTGCGGACCTGATTTCCGTGCGGCGGTTGGCAAAGGCCGGCATGGACACGAACTCGAAGGGAGCCAAGACCTACACCGCAAGGATTGGCGACCGGATTCTTTGGGACCTTCACGAGGATAGGGACGTCTACAACGAGATGTGGCAGATCCCTGTGGTCCCCATGCCTAAGGAGAGGCAAGTGGCAGCAAGCGTCAGCACCAAGGGTGAAGCGGTTGGTAGCGGCGATAGCACGGACAGTCGCGCTAAGGACAAGGAGTCGAAGAAGAGCAAACCTGGAGTGACCAGCAAGCTCGGTGATCCTAAGGAGAGTGGTACAGCAGCCACGGAGCAGCATAAGGGTGAGGAGAACCCTGAGGCAGAAGCGAAGGAGGACCACGGAGAGAGTATGTGGGGCACTATTGCGAGCGCGGCATTCTCCAATCCGACTTCGGCTACGGGGGAGTGTGATTGGCTCACCTTGCATCGGCGAATGGGGCATGTGGCCCTACCCAACATGCAGCAGCTAGTGAAGAACCAGATGGTTGCTGGCATACGTGTGAAGGGGAAGTTCGATGAGACACTTGGCTGCCCGACGTGCATGCAAGCCAAGTTAATCCGTTTCCCGTTCTCTAGTTTGGATGCGACGGCTAAGGCACCACTTGATGAGGTGGTGATGGACGTGGTGGGCCCCTTGAAGCTTGGAGCTGCTGGTGCAGAGTACTTCCTCACCATTGTCGACGTTCACACCCGCATGAGTTGGGTGTATGTGCTGGCCAAGAAGAGCGACGTGGCTGAAACGTTGAAGACGGATTGGTTCCCGATGGTGGAGCGGCAACAAGTTCGTCTAGTCAAGTCAATCCGCACCGATCGAGGGGGAGAGTTCCTGAGCAAGGATTTTGGGTTGTGGCTGAAGAAGAATGGTATTCGGCACTCCCTCACCATGCCATACTCCCCTGCAATGAACGGCATCGCTGAGCGAGCGAACCGGACGATCACGGAGGCGGCACGCGGGTTGCTCATTGAAGCCGGGCTACCCGACTATTTCTGGCCTGATGCGGTGCGGAGCGCGTGTGTGGCCAAGAACAGAGCCTTGACTCATGTGGGAGCAGACAAATGGGTGCCCTATGTGGAGTGGCTTGGAAGGAAGCCAAAGGTGGATATGCTTCGGGTGTTCGGGTGCATGTGCATGGCGCTCGTACCTAAGCATCTTCGGCACAACAAGCTTGGTGCCAAGGCGGTGCGGACCGTGCACTTGGGCATGGCTCAAAACAGCAAGGGGTGGCTTTTTAGGGACCCATTCACCAAGAAGTTCTTGGTGAGCAGGGACTGCAAGTTCATGGAGAACTTCATGTACAAGGATTGGAAGGCGGAGAATGAGGCGAAGATAGGCGTGCGGTTTGGGGAGGTGAAGAGTTCCGGCTTGGAGCACGTGGAGCTGCCTTTGGAGCTGAGCAGCGGCAGCACCACCACAAGGCAATCTTCCCTTGTGAATGGGGGAGAGGAGGCCAAGGATGCGGAGGAAGAAGAGGAGGAGGTGCAGCAAGTGAGCGAGCGTGCACCGACACATCCTTCCCGCACTACGAGCGCTCCACGGAATCGAACCACACCGCAGCAACGCCAAGGCCTTCAAGTCCCTGCAGCTGAGGAGGAAGGAAGGGTCAAGAGGAAAGTTCAAGCCCCCAATAGGCTGACCTATGATGCGCCGGGGAAGCAGGGCAAGACGGCCCTAGCTGGAGCGGCAATGATGGTTGGAGATGACGAGGAGAGTGACTACGAGGAGTGTGCCTTCGCGTTCTTCTCACCAATGGAGATGCCGGGAGAACCATCAACTTTCAAGGAGGCCTTGGAGAGTCGTGATGCTGAGGAGTGGAAGAAGGCCATGGAGAGTAAGCTCAAGAGCATCGAGGAAAATGACACGGGACTACAACGGGATCTAGACTACGGGCTAGGCACGGGTGCTCGTGTGATCTCTGCGTTCCTTGTTCCTTAGTCGTTTTCCTCGTGCACACACTGCATGCTAAAACAAGAAGCGAATTGTAAGAGTTTCACTAGAGAAAGTTGACAACAATGATCCAATAATGTTGGCTAGGCTAGACTACATCAGAGCTAGGATGCAAGCAGGTCGACTGCCAGCGCAGCACGGTCGACCGCATGCCAGCACGACTTGGTCGACCGCGCTCCAGCAGTGCAGAGTCGCGGCTTGCCAACGCTGCAGGTCGACGGCGTGACAACAGCGCAAGTCGATGGCGTGCCAGCGTTGCTCCCGCAGTACAGCATCGCACCCGCTTCGCAGGTGCTCGCAGATGATTGGCGTGCAGTGTCTCGTCACCTGCACAACGCACACACCAAGTCAACTTCGTGCTGACGACAGCTTCTGATCAGCCAGGTCGGCCTCGGGATACCACCACCGAGGTCGTCCTCGCCAACATCGCCTGGGCGACCTTCGCGTGCCTTCGCAGATCCTCGTCACCCAGATAACCTGGTCGACCGGGCAACCACGTCGACCAGCTACTCTTGTGTGTGCCCGTCGACCACCCAAGTCGACGAACCACTCCAAGTCAACCTCACCAGGTCGACCACACCCTCGGTCGACCAGCTCCAGGTCGACGTCCCTCCAGGATGACCATCTTCAGGTCGACCAGCACTAGCCGACCACCAGAGTCGGCTACCCGAAGTCGGCGTCACCAAGTTGACGCCCTGCTACTCGACGCCCAGCTGTTCGGCGTCCTTAATCCTTCTGCCGAAGTCGACGTCGGCCCCTCCTTCGTCGACCACCATGTTCGGTCGACCACCAGGTCGACCTCACGCCTGGTCGACCATCCAACCAATTCGACCAAAAGGCCTGGTCGACCAACCAGGTCGACCAGCAGGTCTGGTCAACCCACCAAGTCGACCAGCAGCTCTGTCAGCCGACCATCCAAGTCCGCTGTCTCAGGTTGGCGTCACCAGGTCGTTGCCCTCTGCAGGTCGACTTCCCAGGTCGACCACACGACGTTGGCGCCCTCTCAAAGTCGGCGCCCATGCAGTGGCTCCTCGTGCAGGTCGACCAACCTCGTCGACCAGCTCGCCCACTGCTGCAAGTCGGCTGCACCCCTACACCCGACCATGAGGTTGGCTCCACCCAACCGAGGACGAGGCCAACACACAACTCCCGTTGACAACGATCGAATTGGTGGAGCTACCGGAGGGGCGTACGGCGATAACGTCCAAGTGGCTCTTCAAAATCAAGTCGGACGCCGACGGCAAGATCGAGCGTTACAAGTCTAGGCTGGTGGCCAAGGGGTACCAGCAGAAGGAGAATGTGGACTTCAAGGAGCTGTTTGCTCCTATGGTGAAGCCGACGACGCTGCGAACCCTACTCGCGGGAGCCGCCATCAAAAGTTGGGTGGTGAAGCAGCTAGACATCGTCACGGCGTTCCTCAACGGAATCCTCGAGGAGGAGATTTTTATGGCGCAGCCAGAGGGGTTTGACGATGGCAGCGGCAGAGTGTAAAAGCTGACGAAGGCCCTCTATGGGCTGAAGCAGGCCCCTAGGCAATGGTACCTGAAGCTGCGCGAAGTGTTGGAGGAGATCGGCTTCACTCCCTCAACGGCCGATCATTCCTTGTTCATGCTTGGCGAGGGGGAGCAGAGGAGCTTCATGGTGGTCTACGTGGACGACATCCTGATCTTCTCACCCTCCTCTGAGACTGTGAAGGAGGTGATGCTGAAACTTCAAGACAAGTTCAAGTGCAAGTCCCTTGGGGACGTGAACTTTTACCTCGGGCTTCACATCGAGCGTGATGTGGAGAAGCGGTGCATGCGGGTGCACCAACGCAAGTACCTGGAGGCCTTGGCTGCCAAGTTTGGGCAGAATGAAGGCCATGTGACTACATCCTTTCCCTCTCGGTTCAAGTGTGTGAAGGGACCAGAGGAGGAGAGCGTGGGTGAAGAGGAGAGGCGCCGATTTTACTCATTGATGGGAAGCCTCACGTATGCGGCAGTCAACACATGACCGGATGTCGCGTTTGCTACCGGGCAGCTGGCAAGGGTTGTGCAATGCCCTTATGAGGAGCAGGTAGCAGCTGGAATGAGGGTGGCCAAGTATCTTGGCCAAACACCGACCGTTGGGCTGCAATATTCGGCAGCGGCACAAAGGCGCCAAAAGGGCGCGGATGGTGTGGAACCCGGGCGTTTGTTCCTCACCGCATTCTCGGATGCCTCCTATGCATCAGAACCAGAGGACATGACAAGTGTGGGAGGCTTCATATGATGTTTTGGTGGAGGCCCAACTGCTTGGGAGAGCAAGAAGCAGGTGGACCAAGCATTGAGCTCGGTGGAGTCCGAGTACATGGCACTCTTCCGTGCCATACGGGAGATTGTGTGGCAGCGGCGTTTGTTGGCTGAATTGGGGGAGGAGCAGCAAGGACCAACCCCTCTCTATTGTGACAGCCAGGGAGCCATTGCTCTAGCCAAGAACCCTGTGTTGCATGGCCTGACAAAGCACATGAGGGTGAAGTGGCACTGGACAAGGAGCATGGTGGCCGCGGGTGAAGTTGAATTGCTCACGTGAAGACGACGGGGCAGCCAGCGGACATGATGACCAAGAGGCTGGTGGAGCAGCAGCATTGGAACTATTGCAAACTAGCTGTGATGGCTCTAAACTGAGAGAGCAAGATCCTAAGGCCAA